CTAACCCTTTTTGATGGGATATAATAGTATATAGAGACCCTACATCGGCAGTAACTAAAATAAAGTGAGGTTCCCATTCTATTTGTTTTAAAACTTGAATGACATTAAGTGTATCTTTCAAGTAACTGGGTGTATCCTTCACTACCTTATTTACTAGCTTGGAAGTTGTGGGAAATTGTAAATTGTAAGCAAAATTGGGATAAAAAAACACCCAAATTAGGCCAAAAAATTAGCAATTTCCTTGAAAATATGTCACAATTGCCAGTTTAGTAACGACTCCTAAGAGTGACCTGTTTGCTGTTGCATGGAGTGAGCGTTTGGCTTACAGAGGATGACTTGGGCTGCAAGTAAAATAATGCCGACTTTCTACTTAGTAACGCACATGAAATTGGTTTATAAAAATCTATTGACCTTTGGTCAAGCAAGTTGGATAATGATATTTATGTCTGATTTATGTCTGCAGTGTATCACAGTAATGTGACACTGCTATTAGTAATATCACCAATGTCATTAAAGCAGCATTAAGACATTGTAACGTTGGGTACCGGATCTGGAGCTAAAACGAAACGTAATGGGGGGTGTAATCCATCTCTCTTATTAAATGAAGATGATAACGTAGAAAGGATGATATTCACATATTAGGCCTCTTACGTGGGATCATAATGAGTTTACTGAATGCAGATGACATTAGCACATTGAAAAGGGGTATTCCCTCCCTGCGATATAGTGGTTCAAGGCACCTTAGTACTTACGGGCTTAGAAAAGTGCTTGTAAGTGTTTATATACAGATCAGATGTAGTATAAAGATATTATACTACCGGTAGAAAATGAGGCAGATGTCTGATCTACAGAATAAAATAGAATTTCTCAGTGAATTGCTGGGTTGTAGAGGATCTCTTGATGAATAAAAAGATTCTAAGAGCTAGGAATGAATATTCAGATTGCGAAAGAAATTTGACATTTTTTCAGGGTCTCCATATGAATACGCAGAGAATTGCAAACTTTATCCCAAGCTGGAAAAAAATCGATACATGATTTTAGATTTTTGAGTGGTTAGCCCCCTTTACTCTTACTATGTCCTCTGTCAGGGAGAGGAGTGTGGTCTGTTTATTCCCATCATTTAATTAATACAATATTTGTAACAGTGACAACATTCAGTCTTGTATCACTATATGTTAATCATTCATCCATCAAAGAAGTAATTATTGTCATTGATTTCGTGAAATGCCTGCTTTGTATAGTTAGAGCTCTGCGGTTAAAGAGCATTGTTTATTCCAATATTTATGGCTGAGAAAAGACAAAAAGAAATCAATCGATATTTATTTTCCTTATTACTGTTCACGTAATTAGAATGTTTTTTTCATGTTTGTGGTTGTTGCTAATAACAGACAATACAGAGAGAGATTAATTAGCTAATAGACGATGCTTGCCATGTTAAAGCTGCACTGTTACTTTTGGGGTGTTGCCAGTTTTTACAAAGATCCCACAAGGTGAAATGTCTGCTTGTGTGCAGTTAGCCAAGGTGGGAGCACCTGGGGGGATATTCTTAAAGTGGCACTGTCACCTCTACCCCCCACAAACTGAGTATTTTTTATAAAGTTAGATCTGATAAATATGAGAAACACTTGGAATCACTGACATTCTAACCCAGTCAAGTGATACACAGAGACTCAAGTAGAGACTACTATGTATCTTTAGTTCTCCTCTGCCTGATTTTCTTTGACTCTGGGTGGAGTCTGAGTGTCAATATTGATGGCAGGGAATTGGCTGTATCTATAGAATCCCCCCGTCTTGAGGGATTCAACAGAGAACTCAGTGCTGTACTCTCGCATATGCTGAATGCAAGCTGAACTCGCGCATGATCTGAGCGAAGTTATTTCACGAGTTATTCTATTTTAATGCTGTGGAGCTCTGTGATACACTCATACACGCAGGATAGTATTGTGAGTTTTATTCCCGTGGAGCTCTGTGATACACTCATACACGCAGGATAGTATTGTGAGTTTTATTCCTGTGGAGCTCTGTGATACACTCATACACGCAGGATAGTATTGTGAGTTTTATTCCCGTGGAGCTCTGTGATACACTCATACACGCAGGATAGTATTGTGAGTTTTTTTCCTGTGGAGCTCTGTGATACACTCATACACGCAGGATAGTATTGTGAGTTTTATTCCCGTGGAGCTCTGTGATACACTCATACACGCAGGATAGTATTGTGAGTTTTATTCCCGTGGAGCTCTGTGATACACTCATACACGCAGGATAGTATTGTGAGTTTTATTCCCGTGGAGCTCTGTGATACACTCATACACGCAGGATAGTATTGTGAGTTTTATTCCTGTGGAGCTCTGTGATACACTCATACACGCAGGATAGTATTGTGAGTTTTATTCCTGTGGAGCTCTGTGATACACTCATACACGCAGGATAGTATTGTGAGTTTTATTGCTGTGGAGCTCTGTGATACACTCATACACTCAGGATAGTATTGTGAGTTTTATTGCTGTGGAGCTCTGTGGTATACTTGTACATGCAGGATAGTATTGTGAGTTTTATTGCTGTGGAGCTCTGTGGTATACTTGTACACATGGTTCATTACTGTGAGTTTTGATGCTGTGGAGCTCTGTGATACACTCATACTGCACATTACTGTGAGTGTTTTAATGCTGTGCAGCTCTGTGATACACTCATACACACAGGATAGTATTGTGAGTTTTATTGCTGTGGAGCTCTGTGATACACTCATACACGCAGGATAGTATTGTGAGTTTTATTGCTGTGGAGCTCTGTGGTATACTTGTACACGCAGGATAGTATTGTGAGTTTTATTGCTGTGGAGCTCTGTGGTATACTTGTACACATGGTTCATTACTGTGAGTTTTGATGCTGTGGAGCTCTGTGATACACTCATACTGCACATTACTGTGAGTGTTTTAATGCTGTGCAGCTCTGTGATACACATTAATGTGAGTTTTAATGTTGGGGAGCTCTGTGATACTCTCATACTGCACATTACTGTGCGTTTTAATGTTGGGGAGCTCTGTGATACACTCATACTGCACATTACTGTGAGTTTTTAATGCGGTGGAGCTCTGTGATACTCTCATACTGCACATTACTGTGAGTTTTTAATGCGGTGGAGCTCTGTGATACTCTCATACTGCACATTACCGTGAGTTTTAATGCAGTGGAGCTCTGTGATACTCTCATACTGCACATTACTGTGAGTTTTTAATGTTGAGGAGCTCTGTGATACTCTCATATTGCACATTACTGTGAGTTTCCATGCTGGGGAGCTCTGTGGTACTCACACATTACTGAGAGTGTTAATGCTGGGAGCTCTGTGATACTCTCATACTGCACATTACTGTCAGTTCCATTGCTGGGGAGCTCTGTAATACTCACAAATTACTGAGAGTTTTAATGCTGGGAGCTCTGTGATACTCTCATACTGCACATTACTGTGAGCTTCCGTGTTGGGGAGCTCTGTGATACGCTCATACTGCACATTACTGTGAGTTTTTAATGTTGGGGAAGCTCTGTGATACTCTCATATTGCACATTACTGTGAGTTTCCATGCTGGGGAGCTCTATGATACTCTCATGCTGCACATTACTGTGAGTTTTTAATGTTGGGGAGCTCTGTGATACTCTCATACTGCACATTACTGTGAGTTTTTAATGTTGGGGAGCTCTGTGATACTCTCATACTGCACATTACTGTGAGTTTTAATGCTGGGGAGCTCTGTGATACTCTCATACTGCACTTTACTGTGAGTTTTAATGTTGGGGAGCTCTGTGATACGCTCATACTGCACATTACTGTGAGTTTTTAATATTGGGGAGCTCTGTGATACTCTCATACTACACATTTCTGTGAGTTCTTAATGTTGGGGAGCTCTGTGATACTCTCATACTGCACATTTATGTGAGTTTCCATGCTGGGGAGCTCTGTGATACTCTCATACTGCACATTTATGTGAGTTTCCATGTTGGGGAGCTCTGTGATATTCTCATGCTGCACATTACTGTGAGTTTTTAATGCTGGGGAGCTCTGTGATACACTCATACTGCACATTACTGTGAGTTTCCATGCTGGGGAGCTCTGTGATACTTTCATACTGCACATTATTGTGAGTTTTTAATGTTGGGGAGCTCTGTGATACTCTCACACTGCACTTTACTGTGAGTGTTAATGTTGGGGAGCTCTGTGATACTCTCATACTGCACATTACTGTGAGTTTCAATGCTGGGGAGCTCTGTGATACTCTCATACTGCACATTACTGTGAGATTTAATGTTGGGGAGCTCTGTGATACTCTCATACTGCACATTACTGTGAGTTTCCATGTTGGGGAGCTCTGTGATACTCTCATACTGCACATTACTGTGAGATTTAATGTTGGGGAGCTCTGTGATACTCTCATACTGCACATTACTGTGAGTTTTAATGTTGGGGAGCTCTGTGATACTCTCATACTGCACATTACTGTGAGATTTAATGTTGGGGAGCTCTGTGATACTCTCATACTGCACATTACTGTGAGTTTTAATGTTGGGGAGCTCTGTGATACTCTCATACTGCACATTACTGTGAGATTTAATGTTGGGGAGCTCTGTGATACTCTCATACTGCACACTACTGAGAGTTTTAATGTTGGGGAGCTCTGTGATACTCTCATACTGCACACTACTGAGAGTTTTAATGTTGGGGAGCTCTGTGATACTCTCATACTGCACATTACTGTGAGTTTTAATGTTGGGGAGCTCTGTGATACTCTCATACTGCACATTACTATGAGTTTTAATGTTGGGGAGCTCTGTGATACATTTTGACACATTGCTTTGAATGTAATGTGGATATGTTGGTCTGATATCTCCCCTGCCCACAGTATTACAGCCCAGTATCAGACAGTGAGGGCCAGCCTGCCAGCACTAAACATGGCCGCCGGGGTTTCCTGTGACGTCAGTGACGCGCCTTCCCATCTCCTGTCGCCGTGATAATGACGGGGGGTTGTCAAGAGCTGATGTTGGGCTGATTCTGGTCTTGGTGGCCGGTGGCCGGTGGCGGGTAAATATAAAGCGGCAACGGGGGCTGGACACCGCCAGGACCTCGCAGGGTGATACATACCTGCACTTACAGTGACTGACAGCACCACCACTGTTATAATAACACCCCCCTCCCCCCCCATGTTATAATAACACCCCCCTCCCCCCGTATTTATAATAACACCCCCCCTCCCCCCCCCATGTTATAATAACACCCCCTCCCCATGTTATATGCTTACCCCCCTCCCCATATTGCATCTTACCCCCCACCTCCCCCCCATGTTATAATAACACCCCCTCCCCCATGTTATAATATACCTCCCCATGTTATAATAACACCCCCCCTCCCCATGTTATAATATACCCCTCCCCATGTTATAATAACACCCCCCTCCCCATGTTATAATAACACCCCCCTCCCCCATGTTATAATAACACCCCCCTCCCCCATGTTGTATTAGCACCTCCCCCATGTACAATAACACCCCCCTCCCCATGTTATAATAATACCCCCACCCCATGTTATACAATAACACCCCCCTCCCTGGTTATATGCTTACCCCCTCCCCCATGTTACTTACTTTTGTATTTATAATATACCCCCCATGTTATAACCTCCCCTCCCAATATTTATAATAACACCCCCCCATGTTATAATAACACCCCCACCCCCTCCATGTTATAATAACACCCCCCCATGTTATAATAACACCCCCACCCCCTCCATGTTATAATAACACCCCCTCTCCCCCATGTTATAATAACACCCCCTCTCCCCCATGTTATAATAATACCCCCCCTCCATGTTATAATAACTATATATCTAAAAATCCCCTCCATGTTATATAGTTATAACATGGAGGGGATTTTTAGATATATAGTTATTATAACATGGAGGGATTATTAGATATAGTTATAACATGGAGGGATTATTAGATATAGTTATAACATGGAGGGATTATTAGATATATTTATAACATGGAGGGGATTATTAGATATATAGTTATTATAACATGGAGGGATTATTAGATATAGTTATAACATGGAGGGATTATTAGATATATTTATAACATGGAGGGGATTATTAGATATATAGTTATTATAACATGGAGGGGATTATTAGATATAGTTATAACATGGAGGGATTATTAGATATAGTTATAACATGGAGGGATTATTAGATATAGTTATAACATGGAGGGGATTATTAGATATATAGTTATTATAACATGGGGGATTATTAGATATATAGTTATTATAACATGGGGGGATTATTATAGCATGGAGGGGAGGTATTATAACATGGGATGCATTATTATAACATGGAGGGGGTATTAATATAACATGGGGGGTATTAATATAACATAGAGGGGATTATTAGATATATAGTTAATGCCAGTAGCGACCTAACACATGCCACTGTAAGTAGTATACCATTTTCTAACATTTTGACTTCTTATGTGGGGTGTGTCAGGCACTGCTCCCGGTCGCTTTGCCCTGCATATCCGCTGCTGCTGGGGGTGCCTGAAGGATCCTAAGTAAGAAGTCAAACTGTTAAAAAAAAAAAAATTTCTAAACCCCAAATAAAAAAATAAAAACACTAAACAAAAATACTTTGACTAAATACATAGGGTGAGCCCAAGGACAATCCTGGTACCATAACCACCTACCACTACTACAAATGTATGTCTTACATTTGGCACACTGAGGCTATATATAGTAATTTAGAACATTTATAAATTTTCATGCAATTAAGTGTAAAGTCATTTTGGAGCAGAGCTTAATTAACTTATTGCGGAGTAATGGCTGTTTATACTGGTGTAATTCTATGTATAATGATAGTCTTTAACCCCTTAAGGACCAAACTTCTGGAATAAAAGGGAATCATGACATGTCACACATGCAAATAATGATATTGATTCTCAATGTATGCACATTCAGTATTAAGTTAACTCGTGTTAATCTCCTTTATTTACCATTCTATATTATACATCATCATTAATACATTTGGTTTTGAATGATTTCAGGAACTGATTGGAATTGGGGAGGTTTGAAAGCTCATGGTTTTGGTGTCACGTCTAATCTGCTATTCTGGAAATGGCAGACAAATTGACTGAAGAACAGAAAAGGAAAATAGAGGAGAACAGGCTGAAAGCATTGGCTCGGAGAGCAGAGAGACTTGCAGCCCTGCAAAATAAAATCAAAGATGGTATAACGCAGCCCACAATCTCTGGCTTTTTTAACATACGGACGACAGAGACACAACCATCAGGAATCGGTACCTATAAGCGGGAAAGTAGTACACCAGCAAGGACAGTGTTTGAAAATAATAGCAATAAGTTGCATGTTTATCAGAAGGATAATGGTAGTGATGGAGGTCTGCCGTCATTCGCTGCAAGCAAGCAACATGGAAGCAGTTCGGAGTTAAAGGGACAGACATCCTCTGTTTTGTCTAAACAGACTTCTTATGTTCTGGGAGACTCCAACTTGTTACGTTCGTGTAAGACTACTGGAGAAGCTGGACCTTTAACAAGTGCTGGCACTAAGGTCACCGCACTGGAAGTACCCAAACCTACCAATGATGTTTCAAAATCACCTAACCTACAGACTGGCATTGTAACGGCCGCCCCTGGCCCTACATGTTCAAATGACTCTTTAAACAATTCTGCAGAAAGTTCCAAACCAGCAACACCATCCGGTAGCAAGACAGTTGGTGAAACAAGATCATTTAGGAATACAAGTAATGTTAAACAGTTCTATTGCCCTTTAGCACCGCCAAACTCAACGGCACTTACTGGTAGCACGATAGTGCGTGAAATCCCCTGCTTTAAGCAAAATTCGAATACAGTATCAGTAACGAAGAAAGATGTAAAGTGCATTAAAGGGAGATGTGTTAAACATGATGAGAATCGTTTCCGTGTTGAAGTGGGGTACAATGCTGCCTTAATCTCCTTGTTTAAACTCATGCCAAGTAAAGTATATGGTGAGTGCGACAGCTACTTTTGTGGTCTATTCTGTGTACTCGTGATTGTTATTATTAATATCTATAAAGTGCCAACAAGTTACGCAGCACTGTACAATGGGTGGACTAACATGAGTTGGACACACAAGAACAGAGGGATTGGGGGCCTGCTCAATGAGTTTACGTGCTAGAGGGAGTGGGGTGTAGTGACACAAAAGGTAAGGATAGGGTAGAAAAGTACTTTGGTAGGATAGTATTCATTTAGGGCTTAGTGTTGTTTTGATGACAGTTGCAGGAGAGGAATCTGGGTGCGGGGAGAGAAAGCTGTTCACAGTTTAATTGATATGCTTTCCTAAAGATGAAAGAGTAGATCTTTGCCTTTTTCAAGAGAGATGGGAAACCCCCACAACCTTAAATCTATTTTGTATTTTAATTTATCTCTTGGTCAGTATAAAGTTTACTAAAATTCTGCATAAACAAACGCAGAGATTAAAGGGACACTATAATCACCAAAACTGTAGCTTAATTAGTTTTAGTGTATAGATGCCCCTGCAGTCTTACTGCTCAATTCTCTGCCTTTTAGGAGTTAAATCACTTTGTTTATACAGCCCCAGTCACTCCTCCCTGCATGTGACCTACACAGCTTTCCTAAACACTTCCTGTAAACAATTGTTTAATGTTAATACTTTTTTTGCAAATTCTGTTTAATTCTGAACTTCTTATCTCCAGGAGCCCTTCTGTGTGTGATTAAAGTTCAGTTCACAGAGCAGGAGATAGAAATGTTTAAAGTAAGATACATTTGATTGAAAGTGAAACCATTTTCATGCAGGCTCTGTCAACCATAGCCAGGGGAGGTGTGGCTAGAGCTGCATAAACAGAAACAAAACTGATCTAACTCCTAAATGACAGAGAATTGATTTTCTAAGCTATTTTTTTGTTGTTGTTCCTTCTGAATATCCTCGACTCTCAATTAGTCCACTTGCATGTGTGCCCTCTCCATTTTATCAGGGAGTAATTGGATGGGCAGACATACAAGTGAGAAGATCTCCCACATCTTTCTCCATTTCACACCCACATATGTATATCTCCCTATCCATCCCACATATGTCCATCTTTCTCCATTCCACCCCATTTGTAACTTTCTGTCTCCATGCCAGTCTCCATATTCTATTATTTTTTTTATTTTTTTTTGACCCACTATTTTGATAATTATATAAATGCATTGAAAACAAAGTGTAAACAATATAAATCTAATGTAGATTATCATTTTGATCTTCTTAAAGGAACACTGTAGGCACCCAGATCACTTCAGCTAATTGAATTGGTCTGGGTGCTGTGTCTCTTTTGCACCTAGTGCTGCAATGTAAAACATTGCATTTCCAGAGAAACTCTGTTTACATTGCAGCACTAAGTCTGCCCTCAGTGGCTGTCTACCAGACAGCCAGTGGGGGTGCTTCTGGAATCCAAACGGGCTTTTGGTCCGTTAGGACGTTGGACGTCCTCATGCTCTGCATGAGAACCTCCAGTGTCAGATTTTCCCCATAGGCAAAGTCTGACCCAGTGGCTGGATTCAGGTAAGTGGCTGAGGGTTTTTTAACCCCTTCCATCCTGCAGGAGAGGTGGACCTATAGTGCCAGGAAATAGGCTTTGTTTTCCTGGCACTATAGGATCCATTAAATACAGCTAAAGTTTCACTCATGGTAATACAAATGTATCTTAATTCACATCTGTATAAACTGATCTTTACTTTTGTTAACCTTTTATTTAATTTTTTTATAGATCCTGGAACAAAAATGTGGAACTTCGCCATGTCAGATTATGCCAGTCTTGGTAAGTATAGAGTGGAAACAAAATCATTAAAGTGACATCCAAACTTTTTGTCCTTAAATGAATACATGTTAAATGTATCTTTCCTCTGCCTTCAAGATGCAAAGTCTTTAAAGGCATCCTCCTCCAAGTCTCATATCCACTACGGCCTGCTGAAGTGGTTATGGTGCCAGGAGTGCCTTGGTCCGTGTGCCTAGTGCAACCTGGGTAAAAATGTCAGAATGTACTAAAAAGGTTTTACTACTTACTGTGGGAGGATATTCACTACAGTAGGCTGTCATGACATTTTCTTTAATCTCAAATTGGAAAATCAGCGCAGTCACGGAAATTATTGTTAAGAACATGAATGAGTTTGACAGAAACAAACAAAAAAAAAATGGAAGGATTGTTCGCATTTGAAGCATATTTGATTTAGGTTATGATGTAAGGGTTCTGTGTTTCTCATAGCTGGAGTGATTTGCAAAAATTGCCAATGCTGTATGCACATTCCCTTCACTCTACACAATTGCAAAAACTGGTATGATGTGTGTCTGCTATACAAGAAGTTGTTTAAAATTGTAATTCTCTTATAAGATGCCCCCATGTATAAGACTACCCTGAATTTTATTTATTTATTTATTTTTGAGCCCAAAATTAAGAAATCCATATTTTAAACATAGAACAACTTTGATATTTTAGAGGTGACTTCTAAGGAGAATAGCACCCTTCTGATTCTCATGCCTCCCCCGTGCTACGGTACTCTGTGAAGTTAATGGCTCTACAGTGCATGCTGGGACATCACTCTAGAATTCCCTCTGCTCCCTGATCCCCATTTCCTCCCCCCATAAATATAAATCTGAAAGCAAGACCTACCTGTGGTTGAGCAAACCTTAATATGGCTGCTCCTTTTGTGGTGTGGCATGTCTCTGGAGCTCCGTTGGTGGCAAGTGATGATGTCTGCTGCAGCTCCCACGCATAAAGGGACCTCTTTCTCCTTGCCATAGCATTCAGAAGTGTATGTGCGTGGGCCATGACACACTGAAATATGGCAGGCGCCATCTTAACTTACATAAGTGTTTTTTGTAAGCCCTGCATTGACATTCTGTGTATAAGATGACCCGCAATTTTAGACTCAAAAAACATACTCTTATACATGGAAAAGACGGCATTTATAGTAGGAGAATACAGAATAGTCATTTAAAATTCTGTTTTCAAAGGTAATGCATTCTACTCTGTTGATCTAACTGGTGCTTGCAATATTATTTACAAGAATTGTTAATTTTTTTCCCCCTCAGAATTTCCTCTATATTTACTGACTGTTCCACATTCTCTTTGCAGTGGGTGAAGTACAGCGTCTGCAATCCGTGACATTGAAACCTTTGGAAGGAATGGGAGATGTGGAGATACCTAAAGAATCTCTCACCTCAACAGCACATGCAGTCATTAATAAACTTTTAGCAATGTGCAATAATTGGCAAAGACCCAACGCCACTGTAAAAGGCAAATGTATGCTCATCTCCCGCTCGCGTTTTGAGGTGGATATCAGCTATCAATCAGAAATAATAGCATTATTTAAACAAATGACAACACGGAACTATGGTAAGAGATGGCAACATTTCTTTTGAATTTTTTCATTTTTTGTAAAAAATTTTTTAAAAAGAATTATCCATGCACCATGACTACTTCAGTGATTTTATGTGATTATGATGCGTGTCGCCATGAAATGCAGCACATAAAGAGTTTCACCCCCCTTTGCCGCCAGAGCTGGAATAAGAGTTCAGCTGACTTTCTCAGCCAATGAATGAGCAGCAGGTCTGATATTCGGCTATTGCAGCTCTGCAGAAGCTGGATGTTGTTAACCCTGCTTCAGAGCAAACCCGGCACCTAGCAGAATCCAGGTAAAGGCAAACCGTTGCCAAATGGTTTGCCCGATTACTGGGGAACGACTGAAGGGTTCTTCTTGCATCATTAACCCAGAAGCCAGCTAGAACCGTTTTATGTAAAGACAAAAAAGTAATTTGGTGCACACCCGGAACATGCTTCTTGGAGTAATGGTGCTGCTGTATAGACCAAAATGTATATGGAATACAGATTAAAGGAGCACTATAGTACCAGGAAAACAAATCCGTTTTCCTGGCACTATAAGGTTATTAGGTCCCCCCCCCCCCCTTGTGGTCGCCTCCCGATGGGCTGAAGGGGTTAAACCCCTTCATCCACTTGCCTTAATCCAGCGCCGGGCTACCTCGGTGCTGGTGACCTCTCCTCTCCCGCCAACGTCAGCACATTCAAACCGCATTCTTTCCTACTGCGTGAGTTCAGTGTGATTTTTTTCACACTGAGAATCGCGGAAGCGGCCTCTAGTGGCTGTCAGGGAGACAGCCGCTAGAGGCTAGATTAACCTTGCAATGTAAACCTAGGAGTTTTTCTGAAACTGCTATGTTTTCAGCTGCATTGTTAAAACTAGGGGGACCTGGCACCCAGACCACTTCATTGAGCTGAAGTGGTCTGGGTGCCTATAGTGGTCCTTTAAGGAACAGAGTACACAAATAAAATAGATTTCCAAATTTTATCTCCGCAAATAAATATGAGAATTGAGTTCCACCATATGCCCTTATTGTGTTAAGCCCACCACTACTTCACAGTAATCCCATTATCATTGTTCCTTAAAGGACCACTCTACAGCTTAATGAAGTGGTCTGGGTGCCAGGTCCAGCTAGGGTTAACCCATTTTTTCATAATTATAGCAGTTTCAGAGAAACTGCTATAATTATGAATGGGTTAAGCCTTCCCCCTAATCCTCTAGTGGCTGTCTCATTGACAGCCACTAGAGGCGCTTGCGTGCTTCTCACTGTGATTTTCACAGTGAGAGCACGCAAGCGTCCCATAGGAAAGCATTGTACTGCCTTGAGACCGGCTGAATGCGCGCGCAGCTCTTGCCGCGCGTGCGCATTCAGCCGGCGGGGCGTAACGGAGAGGAGGAGGAGAGCTCCCCGCCCAGCGCTGGAAAAAGGTAGGTTTAAACCCCTTTCCCCCTTCCAGAGCCGGGCGGGAGGGGGACCCTGAGGGTGGGGGCACCCTCAGGGCACTATAGTGCCAGGAAAACGAGTATGTTTTCCTGGCACTATCGTGGTCCTTTAATGTGTATTATGTAATCCTTTAATGTGACTGGACAGGAGGTATTAGTTGTGTTCTCCTAACAGCAACAAGTGAGATTACGGAGAATCCCTGCACTGTACAGTGATGTCATGTGGGATACAAAAAAAAATTTGATTTCTGCTCTGTGTATTTTAAGTACATAGAAAAGGCCATTTAAAACCCTATTACTACAGATTTCATTGTTGAAAATGTTGTTCCCTCGAGCAGTCATACTTGACGTTTTAGTCTTCCTGTTGTGATCTATGCCAGCCAGGAGTTAGACTGACTTACAGAGCTGTGGGAATAGTGGTTGTGTCCATTAAAAATGCTTGTCAAGTCATAAGGAATAATATATGAGCAAGATGAGTCGCTTTCCTAAAGATTTGCAATCTTTGCATAATTAGAGCAGAGTTGAGCGAGACTTAGACATGACCTGAAAATTAAAGGTCAAGAGATCTATAAAGCAGATCGATCAGCTGATATCTAGAGAGCCCTGCAGATGTATAGCTAAGCATTATGGGATTGTGTACCAACACACAGTTAATATTCTTCCAAGTCACGCTATTGTTTTGGATACAAGAAGGAAGGTGCTCGCTGTATACTTCGATAAATAGGCAGAAGACAGTGTTAACAAGGCTTCCCCAAAACCTTGTGAACAAATAAGAATAAAAACAGAAATAAATATAGATAGCCGCACCTAAATAGATAACCATTCTGTAAAATCACATAACAGGTACATATACATACCTGTTGATATATTGATATAATCCTCTGTTCGGGTATACACAGTAATTGAGTATCTCAAAGAAACAGAGAGACAATAAAATATTAGTGCAATGTGTCAAATAACAGGAGAGTGAGATGTCGTATTTCTCCAAAAGCACACTCACACTTTCTAGAGCTTCACAGAGCTCTGCTGTATTAAGTGTTGACGGTACAATCCCCGTCTCATAATATATTTTCGGCAGAAGTAGTGGCACATCTTTCCAATACATAACATATATAAAAAGACAAACAGGAGAATATCCAATGGTGCAGCCAGTATGATAACGTATATACAAAAAATTGTGTGATAAAGGCACTTAAATGTTAATGATGTCAAATGGAGTTTCGCTGCAAAACTCTAGTGGAGATCACTCTCACCCACCACAACCATGCAAACAAAGAGAAATTCAAAAAAAGCCAAAAAGTAATTAACCTTAAGAGTGGAGCGATAAGGTTATAGATTAGACACCTACCCTAAATGAGGGTTGTCTGGTCTTATCATAAAATATTTGTTGTTTTTAACTTAGTTTTAAAACCATCAAATTCTTCATACCTTAAAGTCCATTCCTGGTCCTCTTAAACTGCTCCAAGAGGGGTGGTGTCCTCTATACAGACAACTTAGCTATTCAACCCAGAGCCAGGTATTTAGGCTCTGGATAAGGTGAGCAGTCACTTAGTTACATATTACTCACTATTTATCCATACATACTATACTATATTGTCCTCTGCTGTGTTGCTTTTGTATCCTTATATTGAGGAAAAGTATCGTGACCTAAAGGGGAAAGTGCCACCAGACGGCACTAAAGCGGAAGAGATTTGAGCCTGTCCTATTCTAGGCTCTTCCATATGTGAGTTGGCACTTCATAAGATAATCTTACGACATATGTCAACCACACAGATTTATACTACAGTATATACTCGAGTATAAGTCTAGTTTTTCAGCACATTTTTTGTGCTTAAAAACCCCCACTCGACTTATACTCGAGTCACTGTCTGTATTATGGCAACTTAGAGAGCCGCGACCATCAGAGCCATGGCAACGATCCGCGCGGCAACCAGACCGCGAGACTTACAGTGGAGCTGACCGGAACGGAGGAGAAGGGAGCTGACAGGAGCTGCAGGAAAGGTAAGTAAATGCCTCCTGCCGGCCCCCCCACTTCACAGCCCATGCCACTGGACCACCAGGGATTAAGATAGCCCCCTACCTGACCAGTTAACAAGCAGGCAGGGGGGGACAATTTTTTTTTTTTTTTAAATAATAAAAAAATAATAATATTAAAATAAAAAAAATTTTAAATAATAAAAATGCCCTCCCCCCACCCATTTCACACACACTACACAAACACACACTCTGCATTATATACACACTCTGCATTATATACACAGAGTGTGTGTATATAATGCAGAGTGTGTGTTTGAATGAGTGTGTGTGTGTATATAATGCAGAGTGTGTGTTTGTATAAGTGTGTGTGTATATAATGCAGAGTGTGTGTTTGTATGAGTGTGTGTGTATATAATTATAAAAATCACAGAATTTCATAGCCCCAAGTTTTACCCTCGACTTATCCACGAGGCATAGCATATTTCACAATTGTTGGTCACAAAACTGCACTCGACTTATACATGAGATCGACTTATACACGAGTATATACGGTATGTATTTCCTTTTGTGCTTTCTTTCATATATGCATTGAGACCAACTGGAACACATTATAATTATTTTATGATAAGACCAGACAACCCTCATTTAGGGTAGGTGTCTAATCTATAACTTTATCGCTCCACTCTTAAGGTTAATTCCTTTTTGGCTTTTTTCCACTTTCTCTTTGTTAGTATGGTAAAGTGACTGTGCAAAAAAGTATAAATAACCTACTCATATGAGAGTACATAGATCTGCTCTGGTGTTGTAATGCCTTGGTGGTATGATCCCCACGTGGGACATATGTAGATAGGAAGCCAAGAAAAGATGTAGAGTATAATCCAAAATAAAAACCAAAACAAATAACACATAGGTGCTAGATCCACACTTTATGCATTTCACTTCTGATGAATCCCCATCACTTTTATCACTTCTGATGAAATCCCAAGGTGAAACGTGTAAAGTGTGGATCTAGCACCTACGTGGATTGTTTTATAGTACTTTTATTGATTTATTTGTTTGTAGTAAATTAAATCATTTTAAATCAAATTTTTTTTTGGATTATACTCATCTTTTATTGTCTTCCTATCTACATATATCCTACGTTAGGATTATACCACCAGGGCATTACAACACCAGAGCAGGTCTATCTCATGTGAGTAGGTTATTTATACGTTTTTTTTTATTTTTTTATTGCACAGTCACTTTACCATACTGACTGGTTTGTCTTTTTATATATGTGATGTATTGGAAAGATGTGCCACTACTTCTGCTGACAATATATCCTGAGACGGGGATTGTACCGTCAACGCTTAATACAGCAGAGCTCCGTGAAGCTCTAGAAAGTGTGAGTGTGCTTTTGGCAAAATACTACATCTCACTCTCCTGTTATTTGACATATTGCACTATTATGTTTTTGTCTCTCTGTTTCTTTGAGATAATCAGTTACTGTGTATATCCGAATAGAGGATTCTATCAACATATGTACCTGTTATGTGATTTCACAGAATGGTTATCTATTTAGGCGCGGCTATGTATATTTTTTTTCTGTTTTTCTTCTTACATGTTGTTTTTGTTCTTTTTCTTATACCCTTTTTATTTGTTTATTGATTTAAATTTGTTTTTATTTTTTAGATACGAACACTAGAAGATGGAGTTTTTTATTGCAAGACTACCAAAAACTGAGTAAGCTTTCTGCACATCTTTCAGTTCTGAGCTAAATTCCATGTAATAAATGTCATTTTTAAACGTTTGTAATTTAATGAATTCTTAAAAGCATCTTGCCGAATCTGATTTGTTTATGAGAAGCAGTAAAAATGCACCATTAGCATATCTTGTGTACACTATATAATCCCCCAAAAATCAAGAATTAAGTGTAAAAAATAAATTCCTGTCTGTTTCTTCAATTAGCGATGCAACATCCCTAACATTATACTCATCAAGTCTGGATGTGTTGCGTTAACCCGCTGTGACAGTCTCCTGGTGATGTGCGTCCCCTCTAAGAGTTTTATAATAGCAGTGCTACAGTTAGTATAAGCTGCAGAGTGTGATTATTTATTTTTTAAGTTTATTGGATTTTCTTTACAAAAGATCCATTTACATAGTTACATGGCTGAAAAGAGACTTGCGTTCAGCCTTCCCCACATATGTTTTTGCTGTTGATCCAAAAGAAGGCAAAAAAAACCAGTTAGAAGCACTTCTAATTTTGCAACAAACTAGGAAAAAATTCCTTCTTGACCCCAGAATGGCAGTCAGATTAATCCTTGGATCAAGCAGTTATTACCCAACATTGAAAGATTATATCCTTGAATATTCTGTTCTTGCAAGTATGCATCTAGTAGCTGTTTGAAAATCTGTATGGACTCTGATAAAACCACTTCTTCAGGCAGAGAATTCCACATCCTGATTGTTCTTACCGTAAAAAAAAAAAACAACCAAACTTTTCTTTGCCTTAGACAAAATTAGTCTTTCTTCCAGTCTAAACGCATGACCTCGTGTCATATATAAAGTATTGGCCCAGATTATATTTGTATAATGTTATCATATCCCCTCTCAGGCGACGTTTTTCTAAACTAAAGAGGTTTAAATTTAACTATTTGAACTATTCCAGGACAGTCCCTCATAGTAAGTACTTACAAAGAACCTTGCCCTCCAGTGGTTTTTTAGCCATGCTTGTTTGCAGTTTGTTGTGACCTCCAGGTTGACAGCAGAGATATGAAAGAAAACCAAAATGCAATTTATACACGTGTACAGGTTATGCTTTACAAAGAATGATATATTTTGCATAAACATTATAATTTAAGGAAAATATATGTACATAATGATCACTTATTGCTTTGAATACAGGATACATATTGCTTTGAAAAATATAAATTGTAATGGTGCTTAGACTGAACCTCTTCAAATCTTCTATAATGTGTAAATTCTGATTTTAAAAATGTCTTGACAAATTCCACGAGTCAGAAAGCCACGTAAAACAAAAATTATGTCGGGATCAACTAGGCTTTTTTCTTTCTTGATGATCCAGTAGATTTCATTGTGGTCAGCGGTATAAGCCAACCTTCAGATTGTCTGTACTCCTCCCTCCTAAATGGTTACAGGCTGTGATTGGATACCTGGCCTGCTGTTCGAAAACAAGTATTTGTAGTTTATTCACTAAATACCTCATTTCTTTTGAATTGGTTAACACATAGCCAAGCTGGAGAATGTTTACTCCTCTGCAATTTTTATCTAAATGTTGATTTTCAGAGCTCTGTGGATGAAACATCTTGAGTTGGATTAGAAATTTCATAATAGGATTCAATGGTAAACTGAAATAAATAAATGTAAATCTCTGGGCAAGTGAACCTAATTTGCCATTTACAAACCTTTTAATTTATAAAGTGATTGCTATATGCCAGTGATGGCTAACCTTGACACCATAATTTTTTACTGGACTACATTTTCCAGGCTAGTTAAGCATCATGGGAAATGTAGTCCAGAAACTATTTATGATGTCAAGGTTAGCCATCACTGCTATATGCACATCCCAAAGTAATCATTATAGTCTTAGCTTGTCTGTTTGTCTGTGTCAGGATTACAGAATGATCCAGCATGTAGAATTGTGTAACACAGAGGACTGATAGGTAACGTATACTGGACCTTAGAATGGCCGGACTAACGTACCAAAGAATAGTCAGAAATAGCCGAGGTCAAAGGATACAGAAAGAGACACAACGATAAGGAAAAGCCAGGAGTCAGGGATGCCAGAAAACAGGGAAGTCAAAAACAATGCCAAAGCCAAAGTCAAATAACCAGAATCAATAATGCGCTCTCAGACAACCACAAGGGAAACCACGACAGGGCACTGAGTAGGATGAGAACTGGACCTAAATACCCCTCCTCTAGATCTGATAGGCTGTAACTGGCCTTTAACCCCAAAGGCAGTTATTAGGTTCCCATTTGCATAATTGCTGCTCAGCATTAACCTTTCTGTGGATTTGATTGCTGCTCGGCACAACTTTTCCTGTGTGGACAGTAAATGCCATTAACCACATTTTTATAAGCGGATGAATACGTGACAGTCTGCCCCTTAAAGTTAGTAGTTAATTCATAAACTGAAAATTCTATACAACAGTAATTGCTAATTGCAGTTAGGGGACTAGAACGCCCTGATGATCAGACAGTCCTTTTGGTTTTTATATGCTGGGGTTTCTAGTCCTTCTGAAGCGGGCTACCCCAGATCTGTGGGCCATTCTCGGATCCTGCGCTGGCCTACTTATTCCCGTCTCCTAGAAGAAGCTTGATATGGACATGTTTACTCGTTCCTTTTGCTGTTATTAACTGCCAATTTTACTCCAGAAAATAACTATTTTTCATTTGCTTGCAACCAGCATTTATGAGTGAAAATCCTGGCTTTCTTTATCCGTAAAAGTGCTGAAAACACAGAATTACATATAAACTGAGATCTTGCTGTCGGAAAAATAAAACTTGCTTTTTTTTCTTTTTTTTCCCCTGTTTGTGACTGTTGGAGATTCATACATATTTACTTTGCTAAATGAAGTTTATAAAAAGTAAGTTTATCTTTGAAATGATTTGATTTTCCTTATAATTATGTATGAAGCATTAACACTTCTATCCACCCACTGCTTCCTGCTACCTCCGATGCTCTGTCCGTGTTCCAATATATAATAAAAGGTTATTTCAGGAGACAAAACCTGACTGTGATTCATGCTGGTGCGTCCGTCTCCTTAATCTTTTATTTCCAAGTTATAAAGAAAATTCCATAGTAATAAGCAGGGAAATTGCTGCAATTATAACATCTCATAATTTAGCCTGAACTGTATTCATGTGAAAGACCTAAAGAGCTGCTCTTTATTTATTTATAAAAAAATTATCTTAGCCGATTTTAAAGCTGACCCTAGCTGGTTAACTCACTAAGCAGTTCTGGACCATGATCACATTTTCCTATGCGTATTGTCTCTTTATATTGTATTGTTGGTAACTCTGTTGTGGGCTACATTTATTAAACGAGGCGTTGTGCATAATGAAAAAACAAATTGCAATTTTTAGGCCAACATAATTTTTCCAAATTATTATTATTATTTTTTTTTTTTAAATATGCCAGGGAACACTTGAACTACAACTCGGTTTAGGATTATGGTGTAGAGTCTTTGTTGCTGTCCCCAAAAGCTGTGTCAAACTGTTTCAATCTAGCGCTCACCCCTGTCCACTCTGCTGCCAGGTTTGCGCCAGTGAGATGATATGACAAAGAGATAATATCCAATCAAGGAGCACAACCAATAATATGAAAAAAAAATTTATTAGATAGGTACAAAAAAGATAAATCTCTCACAATGCATATCAGAACAGATCAAAGCATGACTCACATACTGATAATAAACAGAAAATGATCAGAAGTTCTATGATAACATCCAAGCAGGTTATATAGTTAACAAATACTTAAACATCAATGTAATCACTAATTGATAGAGATATCAAATCTTAACAACCCATCACAAAAAAATATTATATAGAAAAACAAATGCATACCAGGATTTGTGAGAAGAGGGAAGAAAAATCAATCAGAAAGCCCCCAACGTTTCGGCAAAAGAGATGCCTTTCTCAAGGGAGCCTGTTGTAAGAGTGAGACTCACCCTTGTATACCCAAATAATAAGAACCTCAAGAAACACCTGAATGTGATGGGTGGCCACCCATATTGATTGGGATCCTCCCAACCATAATCACTTGATTATGGCTGCCAAAGAAAACATAAACCAATCAGAAAAACACATGTAAAATGATCAGTAGTAAAAGAAACAGAATATATCAATGAAAATAAATCTAACTGCAAGGGAAATTAAACATAACATGATCTGTATAAGAGGTAATGACTCATAAAGAAAATTAAATAAAGCAAATAATAATAATCACACCGTGTCTGACCAATCAGAGGTATATTAAAGCTCCCAATATCCCCAGGAGCATGCCGAGACATCCACAGTTGTACTTGGATCATTAAATCTGATCCATATTTTGAATCCCGGTAACGGCTTAACATAGCATACACCCACCTATTCCGATCGTTCAAACAGCTCGCTAAAGGTGAAATGATGAGGTATGGAACGCACCATGTGTTCCAAAACATGGAATTTGAGTAATGGCGCAATATGTGTAGTGCCCATGCGCGAGACGTCGCTTGGAATGCATCTTGCGTTCCAACAATACACTAGCCCATAAGAAAAACAATGAGGAGTACCCTACCGGTCGGAGGCTATAATAGCATAGACAAAGAAAATAAATGAAATATAAGATGTCAAAAGACCTTCAAATGCAGAAGAAAAAATATAATAGAAAAACCAAAAGGGAGAGCAACATAAATCTAGTTATTAAAAATAACTATATGAAATAAGCCCATGTATAACATCATTATTATATTGAAGAACACAAGATTCCCCTTAGAGACCATCTATAATGTATTGGTCAGAACAGCTATAATGTATATAGACAAAGGGTCTCTTAGTTCGTGGGGGCATGCAAATCTAGTCAATGCTCCTCACGATCATGATACAAAAACTGTCTCCAAAGATAAATAATGGCACAAATATCATATACATAGCATCCACAGAGCACGCAAAAAATCAAAAAGGCTCATCAAGTACAAAATGTCCTGGGAATATTCAAAGTCCATAGTTGATATGCCAAAATTATGCATCACCATTTCCATCCAACAAGTATGGTTCAGTCCGGAGTAAAGATTTGTCCAACTTCCAATGTAGTTAAATGCTGGACGGGAAGTATCCCATCATCAATGGGTCACCCAATTGAAGAGATCACACATAAGAAAAAAACTAAAAAATAGAGATAAAAAGAAAGCTAAAATCATATAATATACAACAAATCCACATACAGAGGCAAGAAACGGCAAAATAAGTGTAGTACAAGAATCAAAAGAGAGTATAATACATTCCATAAAACAGATCATACGGTCAAATCGATTGAGATCACAATCCTCATTCAACCCGCGAGGAAATAATGTGCCCAAACGATAAAACCATTGAAGTTTCGCCCGTTTGAGTGCGTCTGTAAGGGAACAGCCAGATTAAGATTTCTTTATTCGTTGTATGGCCTGAAATCTAGGTTGAGCCACAGAATGGCCTGAATCAAGGAAATGTTTAGCCAAGGGAATATGCCGTTTATTTGCGCGAATGGTACTTTTGTGTTCCTCAATACGTATTGTTAGGGGTCTCGAAGTTTGTCCCACATAACTAAGTCCACAAGGACTCTCATTAAAGAGGTCACGAATCGATGGATCACTTTGTAGAATGTGCCAATTCTTGTGGATGATATGTTTAACTACTCCAGATTTAGTCGAATATGTAGTAATGCACGGAATGCGGTTAGAAGTCTTTTTCTTATTCTTGCCCTGCGTCTTCAATAGCGAGGTCCTCTAAGCCTTTAACTTTATTAAATGCTTCCTGTAACGAAGTATCACTGTAGCCACGGGAACGAAAATCTTGTATCGTCTTACGTGCTTGGGTATCAAAATTCACCTCTTGTGACACAATTCGTTGAACATGCAATAATTGACTGAAGGGAAGACTACGAATCATATTGACAGGATGAAGACGGTGCCTTTAAGAATGCAACCTTTTGAGTTGGCTTATGGAATAAATCAAAACACAAGATTAAGATCAATGAGACAGCCACTAGAGGCTGGATTAACCCATTTGTAAACATAGCAGTTTCTCTGAAACTGCAATGTTTATAGAAAAAAGGATTAATCCTAGCTGGACCTGGCACCCAGACCACTTCATTAAGCTGAAGTGGTCTGGGTGCCTATAGTGGCCCTTTAATGCCCTATCTCATACCCCTGGGAATCCGCTTGACTGAAGTATTCCACTAGAGTTTCAACATGAAGTTGATAGTTAATTTCCTTCCTCTGAAGGTATTCAAATCTCTTGCATAACGCTGTACTATTACTCTGTGAAAAATAAGGACTATTAGAAAAACGAGCTAATACAGCAGGTACCTCTCTGCCTGCGAATAAACCTTGACACCTGCCCTCCTCTCACACAAAGAACCAATCTCATCCAAACACCTAAAGGAATAATCAAAGAGAGTTCTAATTAGTAGTAGGTAGGCACACTCAATCAAATATTGATAAGAAAATAACGACACAAATTATTTTAAGCCTGGGTGCTCACTTAAATAAGGTCCTATTGCTGGTGATATAGAGATACACATGTATATATTTATATAGAAATCACATGACAAGCCCAGACTATTTCTCATCAACAAATCATGCTCTCTCATTGGTAGGCCTGTACGTTTTTAATCATATTTTGCTCATGTCCTAGATCACTTGATATAATCGAATTTTGGGCATCAGTCTTACTCATGAGATTATGTACGTGAACATACCGGTAATCGTTTGGGAAGTTGCTTAGGAAATCATTGTGCGTTTATAATTTGATTCCTTGAAGACACTTTGCTAATGTGTTTTAAGGTTAATTTAAATGAGTTGATTAGCTCAGCCTCTAAAACTTTAATCAACCTATTTAAATTAAATTAATCCATTATTCAAATAATTGTTGCAGCCTCAATACTAATGCAAGAAAGACTCCTAAAAATGGCAAACCAAAAATAATGGCCTGGAAAGGTGTCTATTTATTTTTCTTATTCTCTTTTAATTAAAGTAACTTTTTAATGTTCCTACATTTGGCTAATGTTTTTCAATGTGATACTCTGTACTTTGTACCAGAAACCATTCACTAATAATTACTTGCTTTGTTCTGCAGAGCCAGTGAATGAAGAAAAAGGAGACCAATGTTTTGTGCTGTCTGTTTTTATTTTCAATTTGATTTTTTGCGAATATAATTTATAGCCTCTATAATTGCTGCTTATTATTTTTAAATGTACCGCTGCCTAAATATTTTCTAAAACTATGATAATCGACCTCTACATTTGAATTGTCTGTTCTTTAGTTGCGGCTGTAAAATGGCCGATAGGGTTAATATACCTCGCGGTGTATCCTGATTGTCACAGGTGCACCCGTGGAACCATCTAGCCGTTTATCCTTTCAAGGTCCATGGACATGGCACCGAACCTTTTGGGTAACATTGTGTAACTTACTGTAAAGTGCATTGAGGTCAATATGCTGTCTAAGCACAGATTTTTTTTATATTTCTTGTCTTTCTTCTTCCTTAGTGGAAGCTGCGCATGAGATCCAGCAGGTTGAGATTGAGCCGTTACCGAGATGTGTAGTTCAAGCATTTGGACCCCAGTTTGAGAAAACCTCCTTAAATCATATGGAGTCACCGGAGGCTGACCTCTCCAAGGTGGATTCTACTCTTGTGAACAACCTGATGCCCTTTCAGAGAGAAGGGGTGAAGTGAGTGCCCATCCATTTAAATCCTATATAGGTTCGGAAAATGCTATATGTGAGGGCACAGTAGGACAGATATGTTGGCAGTGAGTGTCTGATAATACTAATTGATTCTTATTCTGTTCCATGCAGACTCTCCTAGTAACCTATTCAGACTCTGTCTCTAGGTGTCTGAGTATTCCTGCTCTTTGTGCTGCTGATCTGTCTCGTCATTATGTTATTGAGCTGTAGCATATACAATCACTGCTTCATTAAACATCTACTGGATTATTTTTCTTTCATCATGCTTTGTTCAGCAATGCTCCGACGAGCAAGAGACCACATTTGGAGACATGCAAAATCTGAATCCACCATTGTTCATTATGAATGAATGATTGTGATGAGAATAAGAACACAAGCTATCACTAGAATAGAGCGTCAGGATGAAATACCAGTCATGAAAAAGTGTCATCTACTTGTGCTAACTGATGTTATTTGAGTGACATTTAAACTTGGCCTGTCTTGATTTACGCATGGGGCAAAGTGAGCCATAGACTATATCACCGTAGAATAAGAAATGGGGCAGACGCATGTTTAAATAAACAAAATAAACAACATTTTGACTCTAGGGAGCCAAAAAGAGACCAATATAAAGGAGTACAAGGGATGTAGGTTGGCAAACTGTTCAGCCCTACTGCCTTATCATTTGGAACTCTGACCTACAGATACAGCTACTATCAATAGATTCTGCCATGTAGAATGTATTCGCTATATTTAGAATTGATGAGCTGTTGCATACATCTCATTATCTGTGTGCTATGACTTTGTTACCATTTCTTTGTGTTTAGTGCTAGGCTTCTGTTTAGTTTAAGGTTATATTAGTGTTTGGAATTCTATAGAATTGTGTGTGCTTATTGCCGTCATTGTGTGTTCTACCTTCCCAGGGGTCTTGTAAAATTATACTGGTTAATAACTATGGAGCCAGCATATTCAGTAGAGCAGTATAATGCATTATTGGCTACAGTAATGGGATTAGTTAATTATTTCATTAATTTCAGAGTGTCAGGGCAACTTCTATATTTGAGTTTATTAATTAAAAGCCCAATTGTAATCAATTAAACACGCTATTACTGTAGCTGTGTTAATGGTTTTGTACCCAAATAATTTTTCCCTTCATTTAAAATGTTTTTCAGTTCACTGTGATTTGGCATTTGACTAAATTTCTATTGCTTATTTTTTTTCGCGAGATTAATTATTACTTCGGCCTTAATTTAATAAGATTTTCCATATTATTCAGTTCTGTTACATTATATACTGATAAATATTCCCATATACTTGGTGACTTTAACAGCAGGGAATCATTTGGAAAGAGTGTTAAATCGACGCCTTAATGGTTTGATTTCTTAATGCTATAATTTTTAAACCATAGAGTGTACAATTGTAACCGAAATTATTCAATTTATGTTGCAATGAGATTTGTTCATTGCAGACAGCTGAAAGCCTGTAAATTCTGACAATAAAACTGAATTTCAATGGAGGTTTAATAATTTTGATTACAATTGTAGATACTTTGCCTATAACTTGATATTTGAATTACCTGTGTCCATGCAATGATGCAATTCCATTCTGGCAGAAATACCAAAAAGTGCATTCATATAATTTTAGGTTAGGGTAAGGTGATATCTCTATTGCAAACTGTGGAGGCAACAAAATCCTCTGCTGAGTTTTTGTTTTTATCCAACTATTTTCTATCGTCATTTTGTAATTTAAATGTTGACTCACCAAGACTTATTGCTTTGCTTACTCATTTACTTATTACTTGTTTTGTTTGATAAATGTCCAGATTGCAGGTCCGTCAGTTCTGTGCAAGTTAAGAATCTCTGTGAAGTATCCTAGTTCATAGTTTGTGCCTCCATACCCTGTCACTGATGGCTGTATGCTCTGCATGCAGTTAGAGCTAAATGGGATGTTTCCTCAAGACGTTTGCAGTTCATTTAGTACCCCTTGATGTTTTTCGAGATGGTTGGTGGGGGACAGCAGTTTGTTTCTTGGCGTTAGTAATTTATTTATGTGTTTTTACATCTTTGTGTCAGGGTAGCATATTCTTCTATTTCTCTCCCTGTTTCTGAATGACTTGGCAGCATTTAATGAACTGTGTGCCTTCCTATGAGTCCAGAACAGACTGCTTGGAAGCCATTGGGACAAACGAGCTGGAAGAATGTAAGCAAGTAACGAAGCACAAAACAGAGCATATTTTGCAAGGAATTCTATTTTTTAAAGTGAATGTTTAGATTAAAAATCCAAACACAGTGTAAGACTGAAAATGTGTATATTCTTTAATGATTCTATTCCTCCGCTCTGCGTTAAAGCTCCTGCATCTTTTGGGATCTCTTTCAGTTTTGCAATCTCCCGTGAAGGACGCTTGCTCCTTGCTGATGACATGGGATTGGGGAAGACCATACAGGCTATCTGTATCGCAGCATATTATCGGAGTGACTGGCCCCTACTGGTTGTGGCTCCATCTTCAGTCAGATACACCTGGGCAGAGGTAGATACCCATTCACTTGTTGTTTTCTTTAACAATAAATCTCCATTTAACTCGTGTTCCTCCTTTAATATGATTCTAATGGATTCTGTGGACAGTTGAGGTCTTATTTTAGTGAGCAGGATCAGACCACATATTTATTTATATTTAGGGGACATTCCCATTTGTTTTACAGATCTACCTCTGGAGTAACTGGTAGTGTGTTTGTTAATGCGGCTGCGATGGGGGTAATCTCTGCGTGCTGGACAGAACCCTTTTTCTAAAACGATGTGACCTGAAAGAGGGAGGATGCTGGGACACCGTAGGCAATATAACCGTTACAGCGAGCTGTAGTGATTATGGTATTTGTAGTGCTCCTTTAAATAAGTTAGTAAATCAAACATTCCAGTGCTGAGAGCCCATGGGCACTTTTGTCCCATACGCTGTCAAACCATTTCGGAGCAGTTTTACAAAATGAGTTATTTCCTGCATCCATAGGCCACCCTCTGTGCAGGCTCATTAATAATATGGAAATTTCACTTCTCTGTTATCAAATGCAAATATGCCTGAACTTGAATTAAAGAGCCACTTCACACACACACAAAGCACATTAGCTTGCTAAGTGAATTATGCAAAAAGAGTATCCCATCTTAAAGTGAAAAATCATGTCCCTGCAGTCTTACTGCTCAATTCTGTTATTTAGGAGTTACATCGCTTTTGTTTCTGTTTGTGCAAAAGGAGGTTCCAGCAAGATCTAGCAAGCTATTAACAGAGCAGGAGATAAAACATTCTAAATTAAACAGAATTTGCAATAAAGGAAGTGTAAACATTAGATGACTCTTTACAGGAAGTGTTTAGGAGGGCTGTGCAAATCACATGCAGGGAGGTGTGACTAGGGTTGAATAGACATAGGGATTTAACTCCTAAATGGAAGAGAATTGAGCAGTGAGGCTGCAGGGGCATGTTCTATACACCAAAACTGCTTAATTAAGCTAAAGTTGTTTTGGTGACTACAGTGTCCTTTTAAGTGCACTTTATAAAATTGCCTATTTGTATGTGAAAATGGCACTTTAATAACTAAATTAAAAAACACCTTTTCAGATCGTTGATCAAATAGCGGGGGGAGTATCCCTCTCTAGCCACTTGTCCTCTCTGGCTGCTTTGTCTGCGGCTTCTGCAGACATAAGATCTGCAGTTTTTTGCAAACTGGAGGCATATCTTTTAAACAGGAATTTTTTTTTTTAAATGTAGAGTGTTTCTTTACCTCTTCTCTTGTCATATGTGTAACTTTCTTCCTTTGATGGTTGACTGAATAAAACATTATCACCTGCTTTGCTTATAACATAATTTCTTGGGACAGTATTTTACAGCTGAGTCTTGGAGAAGGAGAAAATAAAACCTTTTCAGCAATTATCCAAAAATTCACTGATTTCCTTCCTCTCTGGGTCTATATTTAGGCTTTCCATAGGTGGCTACCGTCTGTTAGTCCAGACTCAATCAGTGTCATAGTAACCAGTCAGGACAGCAATATCAACAGTTTGATCTACATAGTTAGCTTTGATCTCCTCGGAAAGGTGGACAAGCAAGTCACAGCTAACTGCAAGATCATCATTATCGTAAGTAATACAGAGATATTTGGGATTTGCAGGATATAAACAGCAACCTTCATATTTTTGTTGATTTCATCTATTTAAAGGGTTATATATATATTATTTTGTTGATGTATTTTAATTAAAATATTAAGTGACATTTTCTGTTACGTGTTCTGCCCACATAAGGATGAATCCCATTTTTTGAAGAACGTGAAGACTGCCCGCTGTAAAGCTGCCATGCCGCTGCTTAAGGTACTTGTTATATTGAGGACGATCCAACTGTCTCCTCCCACTCTCCAATCCCTTTGTCCACGGCATCAAGGAATAAGGCGATATCCAGATTAAACAAAAAACAATGTTTTGTCTGGATGTATGCTCTAGATCCCAACAACAATTACATACAAAGTGTAACACACACACCACCACCACCCCATGCACATTACATCACATGGTGATATACAAAGCTATTATTTATATAACGCCAGCAATTTCCGTAGCGTTGTACAAATGGTTAACTGAACAGAGGAAGTTCCCTTGTCAATTCCTGGGGAATTCACGTGTAATGAAGGACTAATGTAAAGGGTAGTATTTACCTAGACAAGTTTTCCAGTGGAAGCAGTAAAAGCTAATAGTGATATGGGAAGGGTAGTAGATACCTGGAATAGCCTTCCAGTGGGAGCAGTAACAGTGATATAGAAAGGGTAGTAGATACCTGGATTAGCCTTCCAGTGGAAGCAGTAACAGTGATATAGAAAGGGTAGTAGATACCTGGAATAGCCTTCCAGTGGGAGCAGTAACAGTGATATAGAAAGGGTAGTAGATACCTGGAATAGCCTTCCAATGGAAGCAGTAAAGGCTAACAGTGATATAGAAAAGGTAGTAGATACCTGGAATAGCCTTCCAGTGGGAGCAGTAACAGTGATATAGAAAGGGTAGTAGATACCTGGAATAGCCTTCCAGTGGGTGCAGTAACAGTGATATGGAAAGGTTAGTAGGTACCTTGGAATAGCCTTCCAGTGGGAGCAGTAACAGTGATATGGAAAGGGTAGTAGATACCTGGAATAGCCTTCCAGTGGGAGCAGTAACAGTGATATAGAAAGGGTAGTAGGTGCTTGGAATAGCCTTCCAGTGGGAGCAGTAACAGTGATATAGAAAGGGTAGTAGGTGCCTTGGAATAGCCTTCCACTGGGAGCAGTAACAGTGATATAGAAAGGGTAGTAGATACCTGGAATAGCCTTCCAGTGGGAGCAGTAACAGTGATATGGAAAGGGTACTAGATACCTGGAATAGCCTTCCAGTGGGAGCAGTAACAGTGCTATAGAAAGGGTAGTAGATGCCTGGAATAGCCTTCCAGTGGGAGCAGTAAAGTTAATAGTGATACAGAAAGGGTAGTAGATACTTGGAATAGCCTTCCAGTGGGAGCAGTAACAGTGATATGGAAAGGGTACTAGATAACTGGAATAGCCTTCCAGTGGGAGCAGTGAATGTTAGCACAATATAGGAATTAAAGTATATTTATCATGTGTATACGCCTATGTTTATGAAAAAATTAAGCATAATAATGCTTAAATTTCATAAAGTGCAGAAGAGATGGATATATTGTTTTTCTGCTGTTACAATCTAGACTTTGGGGAGCATTACTATTATGCTTTATTAATGTGGAACAATTTTGAATGTACTTCAGCACCCATTATTAGATGTAATGTGAAGGGGATTACTGGTTCTTTTGTTTGATTCACAGAGTGTTAAGCGAGTGATCTTATTGTCTGGCACGCCAGCCATGTCCAGACCTTCTGAGCTCTATAGCCAGATCGCAGCTGTAAGACCAACCTTCTTCCCTCGATTTCATGACTTTGGAGTCCGCTACTGTGATGCCAAGCAGGTGAGCTGTGTTCTGAAACTGTTTTGAAACTCCTTGTTACCTGTTGGAACAGTGCCCAAATTGTTTCTCTTTCACAGATGCCTTGGGGTTGGGATTACTCGGGTTCTTCTAATCTGAATGAGCTGAAACTACTTCTGGAAGAGTCTATAATGATCCGAAGGCTGAAATCTGAAGTCCTGTCCCAGTTGCCTTCTAAACAGCGCAAAATGGTTGTGATCGCCCCTGGTGTTAGCAACAAAATGAAGAAAGTTCTTAAAGAAGCAGCCAACGATACTGAAAGAAAATTAAAGGCCGTGAGTGTTGCTAATATTCTGAATTTATACTAATTGCAGCTGTTTGGTCTTGTAAGTTTAATTCACATCTATCCTCTGCGAACGATCTCATAACTTGTCTAATCTTAAGCGTTGGATTGGAGCATTGCGGGGGCCTCCATGACATCATGAGAGGCTCTGTCCTTAAGTTGGCAGCACGGCAGCACAGCAGCACCAGCACCCACGCTCAGAACTTCAGACAGACTAACTGTAACTCACTTTGTTCAGATCTGTGTTTTGCAAACTTCCTGATAGTGAGGGGGTTAAATTGGTGGACGCTATAGCTAATATAAGGACATGGGTACTATAGCGTCGGGAATTTAAAGGGAAACTGTCAGCAAATGTACAACTGTGTTCCTTTAAAGGGGAACTGTCCGCAAATGTACAACTTTCACTCTGACCCTCTCAGCCTATTCTTGGTACACAGTGCTTAGTGTTCCAAGCTTTCATGCGGATTCATGCGGATGGGGCAGAGCCGAAAGGTGACTGACCGAAGACTTTGTGGTTAAACCTTTCACCATTAAATCATTAGTAAACTGAAGGTAAACTGGAACCATAACAACGTAATTCTAGCTAGTTGTTATGGTGCTCAGTGTTTTCTTTGTGTTTCTAGAACTCAGAACATTATTTTAATAACATGCTAGTTTTATCTTAATGCAGAATGATGGTTTCTTTTTATTTATTTTTTTATACTTTACTGTTTTACAGCACTTTTTGCTCAGTAGAACAAGCATACCAAATGTTGCTCTTAAGGCGTCACTTGAAAAGCTGCATTAAGGAAATGCAGAGATACAGATCAGTGCTTCGGGCAGACCATAAAAAGCAATTCTGATTTTTAAATTGAATCACAAGTTTACATTTTTGGAAGAGAAATTATTATTTTTCTCTTAGTATCGAAGAGCATCAACTCCTTCTAAACCAGACGAGTGTAAAATTAAAAGTTTTTATTTCCAGAGAGGAATAATAATCTTATTAATTAAAAATAAAAGCAGAGTTTGCAGAGACTTTAGGCAGACATCCATTGTCAGTAATGACTGTTCTCACAAATCACAATCTACATGTGATGTCAGTCTGTGCAGTGCGTCACTATACGAGGAAATTGCATTCTATCCCATGAAATGACATGATCGTTTAAATGGGAAACTATTTCCGTCGTGTTTATTTTTCTCATTAATCCCCAAACTGGTGTAAACATGTAGCCAAAATGTAAAACTCAGACTAAAATAGACAAGCTTTGACTATAGTAAAAACAAAGAAAACGTTACCTGCGCTCTGGCCTAAATCCCCATGTGGGTTTAAACAGAAATGGAGGCTCTTTGGTTTTATTCTAATGGCCATTTGAATATGTAAGCTCACCTGCCACGTCAAGGCAAGCCTCAATAGGTGAGTTCCTACACTAGCCATTAGATATGCCGATATCAGCCATGAGTCTCCAATGAGACAGGAAGGGGTATTTTATAAACCCTTTAACATTTAACCCTTTATAGGGCTTCTGCACATACAATAAACTTTGCTGATATCAGCGCGGTGCTTTATCTTTAAGCTTTGACTATAAGTTAGTTGGAGAATTGTTCCGGCTCTTTCTGGCTACATTTTGCGATGCAGTTTTCAGTTCTCTGGAACTTGCTGGTTAGTGAATAAAGTGTGTAATAAGTCTTACCTGAATCTTTTCTTACCATGGTGACGACCTATTCTGTGTCACCTCTATTACAGAAAGTTCGGGTACATGAAGCTCTTTTCCAGTTTTACATTCAGACCGCGCAGGCCAAGCTGTCCTCTGTCATGTGAGTGAATAATCAAAGGGATTTACAGTGGGGAATGTCCTGGTAGCCCTCAATTGATGTAAATGAATTACTTAAAGGGGCTTTCCAAGCACCAAATGTACAAGAATTGACCTGTTCGATATAGACCTGTTGATGAGTAAATGTGTTATTTAGGTTGGACATCATTTATTTTTTTCTACATGATTACATGTTCCTTAGGGGTTGAGGTATTGATTCATTTAAACACTGATGGATTTCAAGTCACATTAAATAAATAAATAAATATATATATATATATATAGGGCTAGACCGATAATCGGTTCGGCTGATATTATCAGTATCGGCCACTATTTACACCGATATTGCCGATAATGTGAGAGGCGGCGGAGGCCCAGTACACCCTGGGCTGGCACGTCCATAAGGTGGAGAGGATCACGAAGGGACAGGGAGGGAGAGGAACACTACATATTCTTGAAAACAAAAAAACTGACTGGCATGTATATTTTGTACATTTACCACTTGATTAAAAAAAAGATTTTCTAAAAAAAATATATTTAATAAACATGCTCAGTAAACACTAGATTTGTGTAGAATTTTTTTTCAAAACTGAAAATGTACAGAGTATCGGTAAGTAATCGGCTATCGGCCTAAAAGTTCAGAGTATCGGTATCTGCTCTAAAAAAATCAATATCGGTCAATCCCTAATAAATATATATATATATATATATATATCTCCCAAAAGTGTAGTTTGGTACAAACTAAGTCTGCTGTACAGTAATGATTCTTTCTCAAGCATGTCCAAAAGCACCAACACAACTTGAACAAGTGTTGGTGCTCAGATATTCCTAATTTCTTCCAATGATTTCACTTTGTTCTATCAGAGAGTACATCGTTGATTTGCTGGAGAGTGGGCGGCAGAAGTTCCTTGTGTTTGGCCATCACAAGCTGACCCTGGATGGAATCTCTGAAGAGCTGACTAATCGGGTAAAGGCTTCTGCTTGGCACTGTAAATTATGTTTTTTTTTCAATTTTGTTTCTAATTGTAATTATTTTGGCCAATCCTTGTTTTAAAGGGGCATTCTAAGCACCATACCAACCAAAGCTCATTGTAGTAAATATTGTGCGAAGGCCAGGGTGGAATAGGTACCAGTGGAGCTTCCCTTTTATGTCAAACCACTCAAAAAGAAGGTTTTGATATAAATTGAGGGTACGGTGCCTATGGATACTTTGTATTGTTAGCCAGAGTGTACTAGGTTTGGTATGTAGTGCGACAGATGTTTAAATTGCACCCACTGTATAATACATAGATTGAGAATGTTGGTGCAATGCTAGATACAACTGGTAAACATTTCTTCAGAAAGCTAGGAGAAGTTATGCTATATAATACAAATCACACATGTTACAGACCGTAAAAGCTCAGGTGTTCTGATTGGTTTTAATATATCTATATGTTTACAGCAAAACTTCTTCATTTATAACACTGAGATTTTATATGTGGGGCTCAGGAGACATCATCATAAACCGGGAGATCCTGGTTAGGTTTATAAAGAATTCCGATTTCGCATTCTGTTCTCCTAGAGAGCAGAACTAAAATGGCAGCAGTGTAGCTTTCACTAATCTCAGGCAGACAGACATGTATGTCCCATTTCTTCTCCGTAACAGAGACCCCTATAGTGCAGTGTGGCAAACCTTGCAGTATTCCCTGTTTATTCTAATGAATAGTTTCACGGATTACATCGCTATTCTAACTAAACAAGGATCTGTCTGCTGAAATAAAGGACCATCAAAGTATTTCCCTGTAATCGAACACTTCTCCCTAGTGTTTATATTTTTATCACCTGCAAATCTTTGACAAAACTGGGAATATTGCCAGGCTTCTGGGACTCCTTACAGTGTAGCATTTATTAATTTAACTCCCTTAAATTGGAGGTAACACAGGGGGTTTCTCGTCCTTCTATTACACAACTGAAAGAGATGGTGCTAGAATGGGGAAAATGGTTTAAAGGTCATTTAAAACACTACATCATGAAGTCTTAGAACAAATTGCATTGAATCACCGTGCACTCAGTAGATTTGTTAAAATCATCGAATGTCATATTTGAGTTTAGGACATTTTTTAAATTTTTTTTATTTATTTATTTATTTATTTATTTTAAATCTTGCATCAAACAATATTTTTTTAGTTTGATCTTTTAAATGAAGTCTTGCTATTTACATTAATTGTTCTCAAAAATGCCATCTGACAAGGGACAGAGAAGATTTTTATGCAGTTAGTATTTCCCTACTTTTACAGTAATTACTTACAAGACTGCAATGCATTTTCGATTAATTTATTTGCTGCAAGTGGCTTTTGCAATCTATTTGTTTATTGAATTTAGTGTGACCTAATTTGCAAACATAACCAACCACAATATCCCATAAAACTGCAGCTTTTACAGTGTGAACATGATGACACCAGTCTCAGGAAATGGACTTATGTGAACTTTGTTACTTTATATTGCTTGGATGAGATTTAACTTATTAAATAGCGGAACCAGGGCACTGACTATGCCTCTTTTATTATTAATCCAAGTTGTCACTTTTTTTCCCTCCAGAAAGTGGATTACATCCGTATTGACGGCACCACCTCGTCATCAGACCGCCAGATGTTATGCAAGAAATTCCAGTTCTCGGAGGACACGTGTGTTGCTGTCTTGTCTTTAAGAGCTGCCAACATGGGACTGACACTTTCTAGTGCTGACTTGGTTGTATTTGCTGAGCTGTTCTGGAATCCTGGAGTAAGGCTCTGTCCTGCTTTAATCCTACCAAAGATTTAAAAATGTGTATTAAATTCCATTTTAATATCTCCTTCCAACTCACATACACATGTTGTTTAAACATGTGAATTAGATATAACCTAGGTAATTTTAGGTTAAATGTAGTATCCATTGTACACACACTCAGATTGAACAGAGCTTGCCCTAGATTGAACCTAGACTATTTGCTGCATGTTGTGTGAAGGATACATTGCATAGATACTCCCACTTTATAATCATTATCTGAAGAAATGATATAAAATGAACACAAGGTACTTACTAACTGCAATAAAATTAAATCCTAATGGTCAAAAAAGATTCTGACTATTATAGAATGAATAAGAAGGAATAAGACAAATAGTTAAACAAAGCTCTTAAACTGAAAAAACAGGGTCTCATCAAATCCCATACATGTACATAGAATAAATTATCAAAGAATATCCAGGAGCTTATATTAACAGTAGTATTAACACATATATTGTGTAAATATAATTAGAGAAGTATAAGGAGCAAAATGGGAAATGTCATTAGAAAGTCCAAATGATAATTGTAAACCAAAGCAGTCCAAAAGGAGAGGAGTCCTACTGTTAATATAAGCTCCTGGATATTCTTTGATACTTACTAACTGCAGTTTGGACCAGTGACACAAATCTGGGATTGTCTTGAATACTATAGAAATAGTATCCCATTCTGCAATGGGAAGTAAAAAGAATGCTTATGTTTAAAGAGAAAATATGATTTTATTTTTTTCTCTCCCCAATAAGTGCTGTTTACTGGGATTAGGTGTACAGAGGCAAGTATTAAACAAAGAAGCCTTCACTGCACTACGAGGTGTATATGTCATCAGTTACCCAATATACTTTGCATGTGCTTTCACTCCAGAGGATCATGGAACATTTTAGAATTTGCATTGAAAGCCAGGCAGTGCCAGTATAGCCTTGCATTTCATGAAAATTACAATGGGTGGGGGGGAATAACAATTGATAGCTCTAGTTTACCCTTAGAATGTGCCTGTCCCAAAATTGCAGTTCTTCTGTGATACTTAGAACCTAACAGAGCTGCTCTTTAACTCATGCTCTTATACTAATCTCTAAGAGTAATAAAGCAGATAGCTGACTGCAGTGGGCTGGGATGCAGAGAATATAAATTATTTATATGTAGTGTGCTTCACTAGCTTTGTGGAATAAGAGATCTGGGGCAGTACAGCTCAGCAGAGTCTGGGCTGTCTCCAAGGCCAGCAACATCAGGCTATTGGTAAACTGCAAACAAGCAATAGTAAGTTCTTATAATGGGTAACTCTTTAAACCCTTGAATTGAGACTTCAAATTTAATGTGTGTTCAAACACATCATGGTAACAAGCATACAAAACAACCCAAATCTTAAACTTAACCAGATTTGTATATCCAGTAACTCGGATTCCAAAGGCAGTCAACATGGTTTGTAGCTCTACCAAACCAAAAGATCTATAGATCTAAAATCCCCATAGGATCCAGTTTCTGGCAGGAGATGTGCACTTTAACGGAACACTCCTGACCCTTAAATCGCTTCGGCTTACTTCCCGATACTCATACAGACCAGGGAGGTTTTCTTCCCCTCTGTGAAGCTAACCGAAGTGCCGCCACGCAGGGCCAGAGCACACTGCTTCCCCCCTTTTCAATGAACTTTACTACAGCGCATTGAAAAGCTGATTGTGTGCATGGAGGCTTCTCAGTGAGAAGCTCTGATTGGTGTATTCCCCTGCACACACTGAAAGAGAGGACGGCTCGCAAACTGGTTTGTCATGTAGCTCCAAATTAAACATGCAAAAAAAAGGGACAGAGAAGATGACAAAAAAACAGGCATGTTTTCTTTGGGGTATATTTACTAAGTTATTCAAACAAAAAAAGTTTTGTTTTTTTTTTGTTTGTTTTAAACTTCCACGAATGCACTCAATGTTGTTAATTAAAAGTAAATGATTACAAAGCCAAGTTTAAGTGAAAATTGGAGAAAAGATATTCCTTACAATTTAAAAACCTCTTTCCTTTTTGCTCCATATTTAGTACTTTGCAGCAAAACAGCCCAAGTTTTATGTCTATAAATCGCCTCTCCGTATTCAATAGTTGTTTGCTTCACAATTTTGGAAGTCAGATTTGCTCAAATAGACTAATTATCTGTTTCACAACACTTGATTGTCCAGGAATTCTGTTTAGGGATTATGGTTTTACAGAACACTGCATGTTCTGATCTGATTGTCCAATCAGGTGCCTTGTTTGGATCTGACCGGAACAGATTAAGGCAAAGTGAAGTGCACAAGTAGCGCCCCCTCTGTACTTATTGAAACTCTTGAATGTAGAAATCGAAGGGAGGGCGAGGACAAGCAATTAATTTCTTCCTCTGTTCTCTGACCTTTCACAGAACATAGTGCTTATCTATAATTGTAAGAACTATCATCAGCAACCTTTCCTACTGCTTGTTTAACACAGCAATTCAGGACATTTTCTAAATATACTACAGGTCATTTAAGGGATGTCTTTGTGTATAATTGTTGGGGATTTTAATTGAACATTTACACGGTTACTCTCTGACCTGACAATTGAAGGAAAGTGAATTAAAGGTAAGATTCACGGTTGAGGGTTTACTCCCAAGTGCCATGACCAGCTGCAGTTAGTTGAATACAAACTTTCTTGCATGTGAACTACACATGCATATCTGGACATTTTCGAACAGACATTGTGCAAGTTTCTTATTGTGTGAATGTCAGTCATGCTTCTGTCAGTATGGTTGCATTGTGCTCTATTGCGCATTTGTGATAATCGCTCACGTGCCATGCAATACATGGGGTACTTCTCATTCTGCTATGAGACTACGTGAGCATGTTGTTTTCTCTGGCAACTGCTATTCTCTAAGATAAAGAATACGATATTGATAAAACAAAATCTTTTAAAGATATATTAATTGACAGAATGGATTTTAATATTGTAGGAAGGTAATTAAATGTAATTGCTGGTGCCTTAATGTATGTCCTGCTTTCTGCTTGCAGGAATATAAAATGGAAGATAAAATTGTTAAAGATTCAGAGTCTGTATACATTTGTTATATTCTTGTTACACGCTAATATTTGTATTTGTTCTGTTCTAGGTTCTGATCCAAGCAGAAGATCGGGCTCATAGAATCGGACAGACAAGTTCAGTGAACATTCACTATCTTGTTGCGAAAGGCACAGCTGATGACTATTTATGGTAGGCAGCTGACTGTGGGGATGATGAGACTGTTAGTGTAGCTCGTGGATCACTAGTGTTGTGCACATGACATTTTTATAATGAGCCATTTCATAGATCTGGATTTGTTAAGATATAATCTGAAAGTGCTCTCAATAGTGTTCTTTTCCATGGTACAATAAAGTTGTTGAATTATGCTACTCTAAGCATGTAGACTGTAACCGGAATCATTCTGTATATGATTTAATACATCACTTTTTCTCTGCTTCCCATTTCCCTCATAAAAGTGATAATCTCCCCAGATTATTACCTGAGCCTTTACCTACTTAAAACCAATACGTGCACCGCTCACTTTTGACTTTGTGAATTTTAGAAGCAATCTGATAATGAGCAGCTCTGCCATGTCCCATTGGGGTCAGACCATCCCAAGTTTAAAGTGAAAGGGATACTTTTAGCACCAAAACAACTTCATCTTACTAAAGCCGTTTTGGTGTATAGACCATGCCCCTGCAGTCTCACTGCTCAGTTCTCATTTAGGAGTTAAATAATTTTTTGTTTCTGTTTTTGCAGCCCTATCAACAACTTCCCTGGCAGTGACTGACACAACCTCTGGAAAACACGCTTTAATTTTCAATCAGATCTTACGGTATAATGTGTTTTCTTTAGAGGTTTGTAGCTACTGCGCTGTAAATTGAACTTTAGTCACACACAGGGGAGCTCCTGTAGGCTGCAGCAGGCTTTAACAGAGCAGTAGATAAGACCTTCTAAATGAAACACAATGTGCAATAAGTTTAAACATTGGTTCTGTCTTCATAGGAAGTGTGAGAAGACTTGGTAAGTCACATCCAGAGGAAGTGTGGCTAGACTGCATAAACAAAGTGAATTAACTCCTAAATGGTAGAAAATTGAGCAGTTGGACTGCAGGGGCATGATCTATACATCAATACCACTCCATTCAGCAGAAGTTGTGTTTGTGCTTACAGTGCCCCTTTAAGTCTCCAAATATCTGTATTCGTCTGGATTTATTGTAAAGATATATGGTTAAGTCTTTTGTGAGTTACAGGGCTCTGTCTCTGGAGAGCTACTGGGTTCAGTATCCAGTGTATATTGACACTAAGTAGTTGCATATTTTGCAAAGACCCCCATAAAGTGACATCTCTGGTTTGGGTCAAGTAGCCATTGTGTGCAGTCAAAGGTAAGTTCACTTATCTAATGCTGTCCCTTGTGACCCCTGCCATCTTCTTCCTGTACGTGCTCTTCGGCTCCTGGTGCTTCATTTGCGCATGCATGAGAGTATAACATTAAAGTTTCTGGAGGGTCCTGCAAGACTGTGAGAGCCTCTATAGATGGCATTTTGCAATGAGCAAGACTATAAATAAATCCCACATACATCACGTGTGATGACTGCTAGGATTGGACAAAACTGCTAGGATTTGCCAACCTAAGATTTACCTACTTTATCTCATGGTATGTTTGGTTTCAACGAAATTCCAAGACAGCAGAATATGTATTTAAGAAAGATTTAATCTTTATGAAATACTAAGAGGTGACACAGCTTTAACATAATAAATGGGTTACCAACGTCATTGATGGTACTTCTGACTCTGCGAGGGATAAAATTATATAAGTATGTGGGATAATGCATGCCAGTGAAGAGGTTATGAGTGACAGAGATGTCTTCGACATGAAACACAATTTTGAATTTGAGTGCTTCAATATTTAGTGCTTTGTTGTCTAGTAAGAAAGATGTATTGATTCCGTGTGCTTATGTTTGACTAGTAAAATCTGTGTGTTTGTGTCATATTATTCTTTTTCAGGCCAATAATTCAGAGAAAGATTGATGTTCTCGGACAGGCTGGGTTATCGGAGTCTGCTTTTTCTGAGAACACAGAATCTACAGATTTTTTGAAAAAGGTAAGTCAGATTCCAAACACTTAGTTGCCTGCTCAGCCATTTGCTAAGCAAAAATGAATATTATACACTTAACAAATAGAAATATGGTCGATCAGGGAGCACTGCTTATGTAACCAAAGACACTGAGGGTAAAAATAGGAGTTTCTTATATATTCATGTTGCAAAATAATAATGTAAACATTTTACCTTACAATGTAGTCACCAAAACAACTTTAGCTCAATGAAACCCCTGCAGTCTCACTGCTCAATTCTGTCATTTAGGAGTTAAATCAATTTGTTTATACAGCCCGATTTACACCTCCCTACAGGTGACTTGCACAGCCTTCCTAAACACTTTCTGTAAAATGTCATCTAATGTTTATACTTCCCTTATTGTAAATTCACATAGATTTAGAATTTCGTATCTCCTGCTCTGTTAATAACTTGCTAGACCCAGCGTAATTAAAAGTTCAATTTACAGAGCAGAAGATGATGAATCTGAGTAAGTTACCATCTAAATGAAAATGAAACATTTTTTTCATGCAGGCTGTGTCAGTCACAGCCAGAGTAGATGTGGCAAAAGTGATTTAACTCCCAAATGGCGAGGCATGATTTATACACGCAAACTGCTTCTTTAAGATAGTTGTTTTGGTGACTATAGTGTCCCTTTAAATAATAAAAAAATGACTGTTTTCCTTCATTGATTTCTTGTAGGATCCGAAACAGATGATTCTTGATGATCTATTCATGGTGTCTAACACGGAGGACAGAGATATTGATAATGTAGATAATGTAGATGAAGCTTTATTTCTAAAGGCCTGTGAGGAAGTGGAACAAGAAACTCCGCTGGACTACAGCTCAGACGAATACGTGGCAAGCCCCTCCAAAAAAAGGAGAACCGAAGATCCGTTTAAATCATGGCGTTAAAAGGAAGATAGGTTTTATCTGTACAGTGTTTGTAAGATTTTTATTTTTAAACTTTAAGTATATTTTGTACCGTTTATATCATATTAAAGTTCTAATAGTTCTTCATGTGAGTGTGTAATGTGTGGTAGAAACTCCAGCAATACGTGTGGTGTGTTCACCTAAAGTCACCTTTGTGCTGAAAATGAGAAACCATCTCTACAAGGTAAAGAACGGGGTCACGATGGTTACATAGTTACATAGCTGAAAAGAGACTTGCGTCCATCAAGTTCAGCCTTCCTCACATTTGTTTTTTTGCTGTTGATCCAAAAGAAGGCAAAAAAAACAGTTTGAAGCACTTGCAACAAACTAGGAAAGAAATTCCTTCTTGACCCCAGAATGGCAGTCAGATTTATCCTTGGATCAAGCAGTTATTACCCTACATTGAAAGATTAGATCCTTGAATATTCTGTTTTTGCAAGTATGCATCTAGTAGCTGTTTGAACATCTGTATGGACTCTGATAAAACCACTTCTTCAGGCAGAGAATTCCACATCCTGATTGTTCTTACAGTAAAAAAACCTTTCCTTTGCCTTAGACGAAATCTTCTTTCTTCCAGTCTAAACGCATGACCTCGTGTCCTATGTAAAGTCCGGTTTGTGAATAGATTTCCACACAATGGTTTGTATTGGCCCTGAATATATTTGTTGGTGGGGTGAGTTATAAAGACAGTTGAATGCCATCAGGCTGGGTGTGGATGTGTACATTAATTTTTCAGGGATGCCCACACTAATCTAAACTGCCAACGATATGGTAGTATTTGCAGTGTAATTAAACCCCACTTACCCTCACACACATATCCTGCTGTAATAGTGGACGGTCATTCCCTTACTGTACAGGAGCCGGAATGGATTGACTGGTGCAGGGCTCCTGAACTGCTGCAAGGAGGGAGGTGAGAATTGGGAGAACTAGGGGCACGTATTTAGGTCATAATTCAGCCTTTTTATCATTTCTTCCAGCTCTTTCTATAATATCCATGCTATCTGTTTTCTGTTATTCTATCTATCTATTTATCCTGACTATTTCACTTACATTATCACACCCATATATCAATGTGTCTTTAATAGCTTTGGCTTATTACACTTTAGAGAACAAGAGAAAATTCCTTCACTCAGTCCCTCATGCATTTACTTTACTGTCAGTTCTGTTCCTTAGTTTGCACTAACCCTGTTATACCCTTCTTTCCTCTCCCGCCAGCCAGCCATCTGCCTTCTCTACCTAATTGCAGACACTAATTATTTTACTCCCACATTTAGATTGTTTTCTGCCAATATTGTTGCAAACATACTATTACAATAAAATCCCATTTAGGGTTCTAAAAGCTGTTTCAGTGGTTTACCCATATGGTGATCTGTGATATACTACATTAAATTTCAATGTACATCTCCTTAAAGAAACGGAGTATTGGTACTGTGGTGGAATCTCAGTAAAAATAAATTTAATAGGCCGAGATTACCACGTGGCATGTGTACGTGCATATGCTGACGTATCGATCAGTTGGTTGCATGAGGCAAGATACGATCAGTAGTGTACGGAGCATGTGCAAGAATACAGGATGTAGTATTCCCCTCCTCCATTGTGCTGGACAAGCCATGCGGTCAAGCAGGAAGTTAATTCTTATTTGTAATGATTGGTCAAGAGAATGTGCGGGTGGAGCTTAATATGGGAGGAGTTATGTGCCTATATAGGGAGCCTGCACTATTGTTCAGGGCTCAGAACTTGCTGTATTTTTGGTGACATTAGTCCCTCTGAGTCCCAATCGGTGATCCAATAAAGAATCTCTTCCTTCCTGAAGAAACCTGTGTCCATCTCTCTGTGCTTTGCTTCCGTCAGTTTCTCCGGTATCATTTGGTGCATTGGCCGGGGAGCTCATCGTTCAACGGTAGCTGAGAGGCAGAGGCGTGAGACGGTCTATCTTTGCCCACGTTCTCTACGGCTGCACCCCTGAACTTCTGCGTGGACCTCCCTTTGTCTCGGCGCCACTGGTCTGTTGTCCAGGAGATCATCGGCCTCTACGTAAGAAGTGCTGGGGTGTCCCCGTCGATGAGTGTGAACTCAGGTTCAGGAACGAGGAGGTAAGACAACTGCTGTTTTAGACCGTTTGATCTGGTTAGTCAGGCGGGGTCCTGTGTAAATAGCCCTAGCCGGACACCGGTGTCTTGTCTAGACTAGCGTTCTAGGGTGTATATTACGTTCGCTAGGTCGGAGGGACCGGGAGACTAAGCGGCGCCTGTGTAAATTCGATTCGCTAGCTCTCAACCTATCTTGGCTAAGTGGGAAGGCGTGTAAATTTGGAACCCACTAGACTTTTGATAGAGTAAATAGACTAGAAGGGCAATTTTGTAAATTTCGCCCTCTAGTTCGCTATATGTGGTGTTTGAGCAGTGTGGCTAACCAAAACGGGTGTATATAGTTTTAGGTAGTCCATTCAAGGTACTGGCCAATAGTTTAGTTGGGATTGTAAATGTGTTAAAGATTGTTAGTAAAGTGTATATCTTGTTAGATAGCGCGAGCTCAGCCGTCTAGCGAGAGTGTTAATAGTGTATTGCTGTATCATAGTGCACGGTACCATAACCCTGTATATTTACTGACACTGTATATAAGTACTAATCATTGTCGTCTATTGCATGTTTAACACCGTAACCACTAATAATTGTATTGTGACCTTAAATTGTGCTTTGACCTATGCTAACCGTACTGTAACCGATACTAGTAAAAGACGATGTTACTGGGGTGTGTTATAGGCGGGTAATTCATATATAGAGAATTATAGCGTGGGTGACTGTATAGTTTCGCCAAAGGGCATAATATTGATTATTTAGTGACTGGTGTAACAGCTGTGTGTGTACGGGAATTCCCTGAGTGATTATTATGTTATTGTGTACGTTTCACTCGGTAACTGTACCACGTGGTGCTGTTGCCAGAGGAAACGGGTGTGACTGTTGAATAAGAACGCGTGCATAGTATTCGTTGTCAACGACGTTCCATTGATAAGTATGGGCGCGTCAGAGTCAACGATTTCGGATCCCTTAGGTTGTATGGTAAAGAAATTTAAAAAGGGATTCAAAACATGTGATTTTGGGGTTAAAATGTCTCCTGTACGTTTGGTCACTTTGTGCACTAGGGAGTGGCCTATTTTGGTTGCGGCATGGCCGCCGCGTGGCAGTTTGGATCCAACCCTGGTACAGCGTGTACACGTGGCTGTGTCAGGTAGGCCTGAACTTTACGGACAGTTTCCATACATTGATTGTTGGGGGCAGGCCGTAAACGACTCGCCAAAATGGAATCGGATATGCCACGAGGAGCAATGTCGCCTCATGGTGGCCAGGACTTGTTTGTCCACTAGGACTGGTGTTAGGCCCATTTTGGACACGCCCCCTGAGTCCGAGATCCCTTTGCCGCCTCCTTACTTTCCTTTAAGAGGAAGAGACGCGAATGCAGGAAGCTCTGCACCCCTTCCCCTATTGCCCCCATCCACTTCCGCTTCCTCCTCCAGTACAGAATCCACCCCCCCTCGTATTAAAACTCCCCTTCCGGAACCAGGACCAACCCCCATTAGATTTGAATATCCTGATTTGGCGCCGCTTCAAACTTCCGGTCAAGCTTCTTCTAGCTCGGCTCGGAGTATACTATTCACTAACTTTTCCCAAAATCAAGTTCCCACATCCTCATGCCCTATTACCTCTCGACCGGAACCTTTAACTGACGCCCCTCCACGTAGCCCCATACTAACCCTACAACTGACCGGTACCCAACAATTAAAACATTATCAGATGCCTCTTCGTCTGAATCCTGGGTCAGCCTATATCGATATCGCAGGTCAAATGGCACATGCTGACCCAGTCTTCGTATATGTCCCGTTCACGACTACCGATCTCTTGAATTGGAAGACCCACAATTCCTCGTACACTGAGAAACCACAAGCTATGACCGATCTGTTCACCTCGATGGTTCAGACACATAACCCGACATGGGCTGATTGCCAGCAGTTATTAATGACATTGTTCAATAATGAGGAAAGGACAAGGATTAACCAAGCGGCCATTAAGGCGCTAGAGGAGAGAGCCCGTGCTTTAAATCAAGCCAATCCGGCAGCATGGGCCGCAACACATTACCCTAACACCGATCCTGGCTGGAATGTAAATGGCGCAGATATGGCTCAACTTAAAGCCTATAGAGATGCTATAATTGCTGGCATGAAAGCCGGAGGGAAGAAAGCTATTAACATGTCGAAGACAGTTGAAGTGATTCAGAAAAGTGATGAAGCGCCCAGTGTCTTTTATGACCGATTATTGGAGGCATACCGCTTGTATACCCCCTTTAATCCGGAAGACGCTGATAATTCCCGAATGTAAACTCCGCCTTTGTCAGCCAAGCTTACGGAGATATTAAGCGCAAGCTACAGAAATTAGAAGGGTTTGCAGGTATGTCTATCACTCAACTAATGGAGGTAGCGAACAAAGTATATATGAATAGGGAAACAGAAAGTAAGAAAAAGGAAGAGCGCAAGATGCGTAGAAAGGCAGATATGCTAGCGGTAGCGATCGCAGGCGTAGATAGACGGGGCCCAGATAGAGGCGATGGTAGATGGAATAGTGAGCCTTTGAGTAGGAATCAGTGCGCGTACTGTAAGGAAGAAGGGCATTGGAGGAACGAGTGTCCGCAAAGAGAGCAGTATGAGAGAGACTTACCCAGGGCAGGTTACGGAAACTTTAGAGGCAGAGCGAGAGGTAGAGGAGGCCCCGGAGGGAGTAATGGTAATAGAGGGAGTAATAGGAACAGAGGAAGTGTAAGGGAAGATAGGTACTATCCAGCAGCGCAAAGGTCCCGCGATAGAGAAGGTAGGGACTTTGTGGGATTGGCTGACACGGTCATGGAGGACTATTGATACCGACCGGGCTCCATCCCCCTTGGTCGGGCGGAGCCTATGGTCGATGTATCAATAGGGGGAAAAAGGAGTGCGTTCATGATCGACACTGGTGCTGAACATTCGGTGGTGACTAATCAAGTTGCTCCTCCATCTGGAAGAACTATTACTGTAATAGGGGCAACTGGAAGAAGTGCTGA